TTCAAAAACTACCCTCGCGCAGTTTTTGCGCTGACGAGTATGCTGAGGTATTTCCAATAACTTTTTATTATTTCGAACAAATTATTGTAACTTTGCTTATCGGTATTTGTGAGTGCATTATTATTGCATCGCATTATCTCCGGTTAAATTGAGAGGATTGAAATCTCGTTAGACTCGACCGGATCGTAAACAATTTTAATGCCCGGGTTATTAAAAACGCCCATGTCGAAAATAAGATCGTAAACTTGCCAGCGGGCGAGCACCGACGTTAATAACAAATTTGGAGATAATTATTTTGGCAAATTTTGCGTGATCGAGGTTTTCGTCAGTACGACTGCAGTGATCCAGCCGTCGTCTCCTGGCTCGCGACCTCGGTTGTCTTGGGTAAGGAAAGTTGAGAAAATTAATTCGTCTTTCGAGGCGCCTTGATAAACGACCGCGTCATATTAATACCTCCTAAAACGGCGATAGCCCTGAAATACATTAGAAACCTCGCCGTTTCGTTATTAGAGCAATTAATGCTATTTTGCGCGAATAAAAATCTGCCGGTCGGGTTAGGTTAGGAAGAAGCGCGCCAAAAGGGGTGAGTGGATTTTGCATTCTCATTTCTTCATTGTTTAAATCTGGTTTGTTTTTTTTTGCGATTATTTTAATACAAAAATACTTGAAGGGATTCCCTGCTGTCAGTTTGCACATGGATGATGGTAAAAGCTTACAAAAGTAAAGTCAACACACTTTACCATGTATTACCTGCATATTTGTCTTAATAAAATTACAATTGTGAAATGTCCAAATATAAAGCAAAAATTATAGCATTAAGATCAAAAATAAGAGCATAAAACAAGGTGATCATTTCAAATATTTAGGTTGCGATATAACATACTAGCGATTTTTAATAAAAAATATGCATAACCATAAGAGGAAAACAGTGCCGGCGATAAACACAATTGAAATTTTACAAAATTATAACAGTTCCAATTATGAAAATAAAATTTCTAAGTGTAGTCAAGGGATGTACGAGGCTGAATCACATACGGAAAACATATGTCGCGACAAGATTAAGCATATTTGCAGTAGAAAATAAAATACTTGAATATCGAAAGTACTGACTCTGAAGAGATGAACCGTTGAGCTGTTTTTTTTTTAATGAAATTGAGCAGGCATAGTAGGAGGACAAGGAAACCACAATTCACTAACCAAAATTTTCAATAAGTACCCATTAACCGGTAAATAAAAATAGTAATGTGTTGGAACCATGGATTAAATACCATACGAAATTAAGTTCCGAACTCGCTTGCTGCATGAAAGCAGCGTGAACGTCGAGCACACATTGACAAAATTTAAGCATGACCCTTACGTAATTATCAGTGCTCCACAATTCTTGGGTTTTCTGTTTTGTTTTGATTTCAGATTTTTTATGAGTAATCTTGTTTTTATTGCATATGTAAATTGTATTTTTGGTTAGTTATGGTTAAACCCATTGCGATGACCCTGATCCTGGATGTGCACTTTTATTTTGCGAAGTTACGTTCACATTTAGATGCAATATACAAAACAAATTCGAAGAACTTAAGGGGATGATTTTTGGTTTGAAATAAAGGATGGTATGTTATATAAACAAGCAATGTTACGGAAATCGTATTATTATAAAAACACACTTTCTGCAATTTTATAAAATTTTTTCTTAAGTGAGTGGAGGGGATTGCATTAGACCACTCCTATCATTCCTAACTAAATTAAAAAAAAAACCTATGCAATGGCATAAAAAAATTAAATTTGATGTTTTATTTAGAATCTAATCTAAATCTTATTTTTGTAGTTTCTCATATTTAGTTAAGAAGATACTATTTACTTTTTTTTCTGCGTTCTCCTGACGTTTCGCTAATCATCCTGTTGGCTGCTTCAGAACTTAACTGAAACTGGCTCGCTTATATATAAGCAGGTGCAGAGTAGACTGCCAGCCAGTTTCATTTAAGCTCTGATGAAACAGAATGATTGGCGAAACGCCAACAAACAACCGTAATAAAATAGTAAATAAATAAATAGTAAATAGTAGCCCATAATAGTATGAAGTATCGTATGTATTATATTATATTTTATATTCCTATTTATTTGCGATTATTAAAAAATTAATATTGAATTAAATTAAAGTTCGTCCTAGTTTTAGAATCAAATTTCTTATATATAATATTAAGATATATGAATAATAATGATAATAATAATAATAAATATTATTATTAAGGATTTTATGTTAGAAAAAAAATAAAATGGCCAAATTGAGACCTCCTATCATAACCCTAATTTTGCTCCCAGTTATCAACGAAAAATCTAAAAATCTAAAATCTATCAAATATATCAAACTAGAAGCATTAATTAATATTTCAACTACAAGTATAATAATTTTACAAGATAAATAAACTCTACCTCAGAAGAAAACAGCTTTTTTAATAAATAGCAGAGAGTGAGCCAGAGATAAGGGGACGTAACGCTATTTAAGAGGATTTAATTAACATACCCTAGAAAGGACACGCAACAAGGCTGTGAAGGCGACGTGTATAAAACAAAAATGCCATCAGAGACAGACTTTATTCTGTAGGCAGGATCTTAAATAGTTTCCCAACAAGTCGTTCATTATATGCATTAGAACATATCGGTTTAGTGACGGAAAGTTTATGACAAAGATAATCCGGACTTTTTTTTAATATTCAGTCGTCGCTCTAAATTAAACAGAAGGATATTTAAATTAGGAAATCGCTAATATTGAAATCCAAGTCCAAACCTCTTGAAACCATATATGCACGTGGCGTGGGAGGGAAAGCTTGTGGTGGAAGGAAGGAAAAAGTGAGACGATATCTTTCTCGGAGTTCTGAAAACTCTCTAGAGTTCTAGAGTTCTGCACTACATATTAAAAGACCTTTTGGCGCGGAAAGAGGCGGAAAGGATAGGACTACAGCCGATGTTTTTGAGAGGATTACTCCATTCGAAGATATTAGTAAACTGCCCAGCGGAAAAACGCACAACTGGTCCCCTGTTAAGCAAATTGCAACCTTAAACACCATAACGGAGGCTAAACTTGATGAACTTCGACTTGCTGAGGACGCTCAACAGCTATTTAGTTTCGTTGTTTGCGAAACCTGATCAAATTTGAAAGAAGCTACATCGTCATCGAAATTGATATTGACCGGCGATATTTACTTAAACGCTTATCGCTGTTCCGGCGGCTTCTCGAACTCACCGATCGTCTTCATTTAAATGAGCCGACCGTGCGGACTCGTTTAGTTCGACCATAGACGGCCCCGATGGAAAGTACCACCGAGACTGGTCGTGACCCAAGGTCGGTGCATTTGTGCGTGTGCGTGAATGAATACGAAAACAATGGCGTTCACAGTAAGTCGTACGTCGTACGCAGACAGGTACCCGCGCCTGCGCGTCCGACGGCCGTTTTAAGTTTTTTTTCTCTCTTCCGATAAAAAATCCTTTGTTCCGCGACGTTCTTTTTTTTTCGCCTCCGTAATCGCATCGAATGCAGTTCGCTGCGATAACGAGCTGACCTTTTTTTATGTCTCGTGGCCTCTACTCGCGTCCCGATTGGAAGAAGGGGCCTTTATTCACGCGGTTTGTACGCTCGCCTTGGGCGCTTCTGCAAATTTAAACCGCATATCGAAGGCTTTTTTCGGAAATAGTTTTCGTGTTTTTAAAAGCCGCGAAGTTTCGGGCGTTTGACCAGGTGATTTCAGAGATATATAAAGTCAATGACATCAGATTTCTATCGGTAAAATGAGCGCGGGTGAAATTTCAAGTTTGGCGACCTCAAATTACCCAAGATAATTTCCGTCGTGACCTTTTCTATTCGATTTAAGTCCGAATTTTTGTCTAGACGGAAATATACAGAGGATCCTTTGTGCGTTGAAACCGTGTAGTTTTCGAAACAGTCAATCTTTTATGCTAAAAATGACGGCTACGAATCGTTAGTCTTTCCTATGCATAATCCTTAGAATAATTAGGTCCGTTCGCACTGTGAAATTGACACCCGGTTGCAAATTTGGTTCTGCGCATGACTAGTTTAATAATAATAATAATAATATTTTCTTCATTGTAAAATATGTAACAAACACATAATAAAATAACCTCAGTTACTAAACTCACAAAAACGCGCCAAAGAAAGCATACGTCACATATCATATCTGTCAACATTTTAAACGTCAACGTCATAGTCCAAGACGTCAAAACAGTTTGGTTTTGGTGTATCATTTATATTTATTTAGTTAAGTTTCTTTTGTATTCCCGACCAAGTGTAATCTTATGTTTAATATGCGCTATACTGTAATTGGACAGCTCCGTCTGTTTGTTAGTCAGTCTTTGGGTTTATAAATAAATAAACAAATAAATATATTAAACAATCATAATAAACCTACTCTCTTGATTTTTAATATTGAAAAACGTTTAAATTCAAAATAATTATGTAAAAATTTAAATTTTAAAGCTGATTCACCCAGATTCTTTGCCAGTGATTCTAAATCTCCATTCTGCGAACTTTTCGTACGCCATGCGCATACATCGGGGAAGTTATAACTATTTCTGACCGATTTGCGAATAAAGCTATTATAATTATTATAAAATGGAATAATTTATTGCCAATTTTCACATTTACGAGTCCAATACAGTCGGCGCAGTTACAATTTTTATACAATTCTTGGTTTCTTGTAACCGAACGCAAGCTTCTTATTTTATATGGAAATCGTAGTTGGCCATGGCTTGTTTAGAGCCATTTTCAATAACGAAAAACATCAAAGATTTAAAGCAGAATTATAGAAAAGAAATCTGAGTAAACCTCTAAGCATTTGACTCAAAAAATATGCACTAATAATGTTTTTATTCCAATAAGAAATTATCGGCAATTTGTTTTGTTTCAAAAGCTGTAAATGTTGTTTTTAGCATCAAATTTTCCATCTACATCCAAGTGATCAAACGCGTCCAACCACAATTTTTTTCCGTTCCAGTTACCGAAACGCTCAAATGTGCTCGATGGTGGACTACGAGATGTTCCTGCCTCACAGTCCTCCGGTCTTCAGCCACAGTCCGCCGGCTAGTTTCCTCGGCGACTTCCAATCGTTAAATCTGAACCAGTCGTTCCACAGGATACCCAAAGGCCTCACCTGTCGACAGAACTCCTTCCCCGCGTACAAGCCGCCCACTTACGCGTCGGTGGCGTCACCAAAAAGACCTTGCTTGGTGATACGCCCGAGCGAAGATGCACACGACGAAGACCCGACGAGTCCGACGAAACTGAAGAAGAGGGTGGTGTTCGCCGACGACAGGGGCAGACCTCTGACCCACGTGAGGGTCATGTCGGAACCGTCCAACGTGCCTCCACTGTGGAGTATGAAATTCCTCGCAGAGGTCACCAGAGGTGTGAGCGCCGAGCCCGAAGCGCAGGTCGAACCTTGGGAGGTGACTTTTTCTCAGCCCGCGTCCGATTACATCGCGTTCAGGAACCAACTGGAGACGAATATGGTGTCCTTGGAGAACGTGATCGTCAAAGATGCGGACGATCAGATCGTCGGCACGGTCAAAGTGAAAAATATATCGTTCCGCAAGGAGGTGTTCGTCCGTCACACGTTCAACGGCTGGAAGACGTACGAGGACAGCTACTGCAGCTTCATACCGAACAACATCGCGCCGGGAACGACGTACGTCTTGTATGACACTTTCTCGTTCAAAATCAATCTGCAACCGAAAGCGAGGAAGGTCGAGTTCTGCGTGTGCTTCAAGTGCGACGACAGGGAGTACTGGGACAGTAACGGCGGCAAGAATTACGTAATTACGAAGAAGGCTCTCGCGCCGCTTTATAAACCTGCGGGTGGCGACGCGAAGGACTGCAAGTCACACCACGTCGAGAAGTTCGTCGACGCTTCCCACGCGAAGCTCGACTCCTGGACGCAGTTCGCTAGTTGGAACCATCTGGAGAATTCCACGCCCTATTGGTGAAGGCGTCGTCGAAATGGAGACTTGGACAGCTACGAAACTCGATTGAGGTTAGTATGCGAGTGTCAGGCGATGGCGTCATAGCGAGTTCCACGAAACGCACCTCACACTGTACTCTATATCGTATATTTAAAATTTCGAGGACTTGTTTTGAGATTTTGACGATGCATCTTTCAAGAAATGTTGTAGTGTTTCAACAAGAACCATCGAGTCTTTAGCATCACAGGAAAAGGTTATCGCATCTAAACTGCTTTCAATTTTGCATAGTGCAAAAATCTGCTTTCAATTGTCGGCTATTGCTGCAGATCCAATTAAAACCACATTAAAGGATAAAGCTTTGACAAAATATCACTCTTAAATACGTCGTAAAATGTTGTTCTTCACAAACCACGCACCACAGGTATTGTTAACGGAACCGCGAGCAACGATTTAATTAACACAGTGGCACTTAGAATGTGCTGATAGGTTATTCGAAAGCAACGCCATGTTTGCTTGCTGCCAGCAGCGCCACCATCGGAGAAAAAAATTGTCAATGCTCTGTCCTAAATAGTTTTGCTTAGTCCTTTGGTAGTCCCTGCCATTCTGTTGAGGCACTGTTCTAAATTTTATTTAATTATACGTTTGCAAACCGTCCCCACCATTCTTGAAATTTAGGGAATAAAAATATTGTGGCGAATAGGCGAAAGCCGTTGTGTTTCTCTTTTTTTTTGCAATTTCGACTCAGCAAAAATCGACGCAGCATGAATCCAGAAGTTTTGTAAAAAGTGTTGCCAAATTTCCATTTAAACAAAAACCTGAAAATTTTTATGCTATAAAGAGGAGGCCAGAGTATAACCTACAAATTTGTTTTTTTCTTATTCACTACACACTTTTACTGCAAATACTGCAAAATAATAAAGGGAGCTTAGCCAACTTGGATACTGGCAATTTTATCAATACCGATTTTGAGGAGTCTCTGGAGGAGATTGAAATTGGAAGAAATGGGCTTATTCGAACTCACCTCCGCAGAAAATTTATTCAGCTCCTTAGGCTAACATAACATTTTTCTTATTTAGATCTTTTTGTTCGACGCTAAAGTTGTATTCATTTTATGAAGGAGGTTAGGTTAAAACCATACACGTATTTTTGGTCAGTTGGCTATGAAAATCGTAGAATAATAAATTGTGGGGGTAAAGTTAAAAACATAAGAAGAAGAAGTGTTTTGGCATAACTTGGGCGACGTGCTGCCGTGTTGTTAAAAATCACTTAACTCAGGATGTTTCCAGATTTGCTTTAAAAAATGTTGATAAATAATTGACCTGTAACGTAATGTATTATATTGAAGCAGGTTATAAGCGTTTTATATCGGATATATGAACTGTAAAGTACGTACCTGCTATGCAGTAAATCTTGGTAATATTCTTTTCAGTAAACCCAAAGTTACGTTATTCTTATGTTAATTTAAAAAAATCGACGTGTTGCCGCAATTCACCGTGCGGAAAGTAAGGTTATGTAAACGGGGTGGCCGAACCGCAGACAACAAAAGCGGACAAACCAATTTTCTGGGTGCGGCTCTGGCGGCCGGCAAATTCCACGACCATTATATTCGACTTTTGGCAGCCATTTAACGGAATAGAAATTTACTGTTTATGCAAATGGCACTATAAATAGAACATTAAAATTTTATTTGTTCTAGAGGTGACATTAAAAGCGGAGAAAGCTCGGCAGGCAGATCTTTGTTCAAACACAGTTGTATTTATTTACCCGGTATTTACTTTTACGCGCGTCGTCGCTTGTTTGCCCGCCATTGACGCGACCGGTAAAAAAAAATGTCCTACGTTTCACCCTCGCGCTACAACGATCATAAATAAGAAAGCGCACGTCACCCGAAGGCCCCGGCGAACAACTGAAATTATTACCCGACGTGCCGCCGCTGGCGTGATCGAATGCGTCGGCAGTTTGTTAACTATATCCGGGGCTAATAAGCGCAACGTTTCGTGCCAAATCCGCATTGTCTCGTTTTTTGTATTCCTTTAGCCCGGGGTGCGTTTATAGTATGTTTGTTAGCAAGAGAGAGTGACGAAATCGTCAAGAAGTGGCGACATTATATATTTTCTTCATTATTGGACATTTTTTTTCTCCTTATTGTTTTTATGCGTGAGATCATTATATTTTGTGCTCTGGACGCGAGATTCAATAGGCAAATAAGTACAGCACATAAAGTGTCCATTTAATTGAAAAACGATGTTATTAAAGTAACAACTAATATAAAAAATTAATCAAATTTTACGATCTAAGTTTTACAGTGGACAATGATAATTTTTCTCTTACAAGTTATCAAAAAATATCAGTTGATTTATCTCATTATGGTGACAAAACACAATTTACTTTGTAGTTTTTTTTTTAACAATCAATTTGCATAATATCCTGATGAAACCTCTCATCATGCTCATCTGAAAGAAGCTCTCAAATGTCGGTAGTTGACAGCTTCAGTATTCCCAAGAAAATTATGACATACGTTTACAAAAGCCACCAAAGCTTTCACAAAGTGTTTCATGAGTCCCAGTTTTATGTGAAGTAATGGCAGAAAAAAATTGTCACTTGGCACTAAAGGTTTATGTTTTTGAGTCCAGGAGTTAAGCTTTTTCTTTGTGGCCAAGTTTTGACTTTGTAAACAACAGAACTTGGTGTAACCTTCTTGTAATCCAGTAAGTATAGCGACAACTTTTAAATCAGCACAAATATTCCATAGGTACTGAGAATATTTTGTTTTTTCAAGTAATACCCCCAGATAATTTTCTTTCATGTTTGTTGTATGTGCAACGGGCACTGATGGGTCTTTATTACCATCATGCAGTAAAACTCATCTTTGAGGCATCAATAAAAAGTCTCCATTCATCAGAATTTTCTGCAAAACTAAGTTCTTGAAGAAGCCCAGCAGCATCATTACAATATCGTATCATCTTCTTTCAAAAAGTAACTTAGGAAATCTTCTTGTCTTGTGCAAAAATATTAGACTCTTGTACTTTTATCCGACAAATTCCACATTTTTAATCTTCCGAGTAATTGTGCCCCAAGTCTCTAACAAGATCATTTAACTCACATTGTTTAAGTAAATGAGGTTCTTCTGATGGACTTGAAGATCCAGATAAAGTATATGAAGATGAAGACGTACATGTAGAAATAAAACCCGAATGAGGCTGTAGACCGGAAGTTTTTATTTTCCATCTTTTCGTTATTTTTTAGCGGAACTGGAGGTAAAGTGCCTTCACCACGAGGAATTGGTCTCTTTGCAGATACTATCTTCGCATTGGCATTATAAACGGACATAGATTTGCGTTTACCTTCAAGCTAACCTCTCAATGTTCTTGTTACAGCATATTTTGGGCAGCCAACTTTTATGCCTTTCATCGATAAAAAATCCAAATTAAGGTGATAAGCTGTTTTAACAAGGTCTGCGTTTAGAGTAAACTCACCACAAATGTAGCAAAAACAGTCTATAGAATTCTTAAATTAAATTAAATAGAATTTATTTTAGAAAACTTCAAATTGCTATTTTATATTTACTGGCTCTGTTCATGAAAAATACATGAACTACAGATAAAATACTTAATAAAAATATAGAGAATATGAACTTTATGTAAAACTTACACAACGTAAACAAAAAAGACAAGTTTTCAACTAACATTCACAGCGAATACTGCGCAAGCGCATATGTACTACCATAAAAATCACATTCGGCACTATTCCTTCTTTATCTTGCAACGCTCTCAAACCTATTTCGTATGTATATACACTGTTTATGATGTTAACGCGTAAAATGAATTAAAAAAAAAACTAAATTTGTGATATTTAAAATAATATATATATCGAAAAATCTAGACGCGATAGAAAATATCGCACGGAACATATTCAGAGCATTAAAATCTTCCTATTTATGACAAATTTTTTGAAGGGGGATTTCATTGCAGACCAGTGCAATAAAGCATCATTCGTAGCTCCATTGACGATTTTTGTGTATTTAAAATGTAATTATTAAAGTATATTTTTGAAAAGGACGGAGTAATAAAATCTACATGCACTATAGACTGACCCAACGAATACTTAAGTCACTTTAATTGTTTGCCATTGTTTCTATACATTTTTTTTTTATTCGAGCACAGGTAGTACCTCCTTAACTGTGTCTAGGTACATTTAAAGAATAATGATTGATGTTGCTAAATACTTAAAAACAAATTGTGTCTATTGTTACAGATTTTTTAATTGCTACCCATGGAGGCCCGAGGGGATCGGGAGATGACTGTAGGTCCGGAACGGGGGTGGGTGGGAGGCAGTTTTGTGAAATTGGCTGGCGCGTGGCCGATCCGCCATCGATCTGGTCTGTGATATACGAAATTTTTAGGTTTTACTTCGGGTGTAATCGATAATATTTTATAGTCATCTTACGAGTGCCAAATGAAGAACATTGTTAACAATTTTTTTTTCTGTGAAAAAACCTTATTTTTATTGTTGAAAGTACCTATTTTAAGAAGACTGATGTTGTCATTTAATACAAAAAAAAACGCTTAAAATGTATATTTTATTAACGTGAGAGGTCGAAGCGCGGCTTTTAGCGATTTTGTTTTTACCTGTTCCGTCGTACGATGTCGATTTGTTTCTTGATTCGCCGAATTTTTCATTATGTTTTTTTTATATATATAGTGTATATCTATGCTTAAGGTTTGTGCAATAAGACTTTGACGAAAAATTCGCGGAGAAGGCAATTTTTTTGTATCTTGTACCTACTATTTCACATCGATCGTCTGTACATATAACATTTTTTTAATCATGCCATTGTTTTTTCTTCATCGTAGTGCGAGGCTTTGCTGGAATTGTTATGAATATCTTCCCCCGATGCCCAAGTAACATTGCGTCATTTTTCCGCGAAATAATATGTCATTTTTCTTGCTCAGGTGTCTACTTAACGACAAAAAGATCTAGCATGTTCACACGACGTATCCCCACGAATGGCGCCATGTTCCCCCCGGCATCGGGCGAAAGTTTAGTTAAGTCTATGATCTATCGCGAAAGTTATATTTTTTGTATGTATGATTTGCAACTCCTACAACGTTGTACTAGTGCCTTATATTCTGTAGAAGATATTGTACGATTTTCTGTTATTAAATATGTTTAAAAATACGGTTGAAAATAAAGATTTTATTTTCCCCCGTCTCCCCTTCCCGATATTGCGATTTTTAATAATAACCGAAAGCTCAGAAGGTCAATCGTGTGTCATCGTTTTTTCCATACAGTTGGGATTAACAAGCACCATTTTTACCATTACTATTCCAGCTTAACTTAAAAGCAAAGTCATGATAAGGGAATATATGCGACAAAAGTAATAAAACTGCACTGCATAAAAGAGAGCAACATTATTTAAAGACTAGTGCCATAAGCAATTGTGGTGAAGGTCAACTTTCAGTGCAAAGAGGACGAGAAAATGAAGCGAAGTAGATCCCATATTATTATTATTAATACAAAGAATAAAGGACAGAGTAGAACCTATTATGCACATTGATAGTTAGTAGGATAAGAATGTTATGCATATAATAAATATTTAGTTATTTCTGTGAAACAATACATTGTCCAAGCGATGTTTAAATACAGACAAGTTCCGCGCACACACATCTGGGGGTAAACTGTTCCAATAATCGAAAGTCCTGTTACTTTTAAAATGGAGGCGATGTGAAATCCTGAATTGTTCGTTTCTTATTTTAAATGGATGACCACGTAGGCGTTCATCATTGCTGAAGACCACAGGGGCACGTCAGATGGAACTTGGTCATGCGCAAACCTACACATTTGAATGAAATCCCCTCGCAGCCGACGCTGACTTAATGTTGGCAGACTAAGTATTTTAAGACGGTCATCGTAAGGTTGATAGTATTAAGTTGAAGTAACCAGCGCGTAGCGGCTCATTGCACTCTTTCCAAAACATCACAGTCACGCAATAGCCATGGGCTCCAGACTGGGGAAGCAAATTCCAAGATGGGGCCAATGTAAGTGGTGAAAAGCCTGCAAGCGATGCGAGTACTAGGATTTTTAAGTCTTTTTTAACGAAAATAACGCGCAGTTTGCTTTCTTTGCAACATTTGATACATGTGCAGACCACGCAAGATCATTAGTTACTGTCTCACCTAGGCCCATATGAGAATCGACACTTGACACATTGATATAATAATTCAAACCGGTATTGTACTAGTCAACATGCGGCACAGAGCCATTCAGCCAAGGCAATAGCCAAGTTGAACACCACTTGGACTTGGTATTCAAGACTCTCTGCAATACGTCCGCATGTGTTGAAGGATATTCAAATAATTTAGTATTATCAGCATAAGCGCTCAGATGAGAATCAATGCTGGAGAGCAAATCCACGGTGTACACTAAGAATATAGTATATCATATTTTTATAAGTTTGACCACGAGAATATTTTAATGTTTGAAGTACATTCATAGAGTGAGGTGTAACGTGACCTTGAAGACTAACAAACGTCACAATACCATATTCTTGTTCTTCTTTAGGTGCTCATCCGCTAACCGAAAGGAGAGGTGATTGATTCGTTATACCAAGTTCCTAAATTTTTGTAGAACGAGCTGCGGGAGATCATTCGGCATTATGCCTAAGTACTCGAAATTTTCAATTTGTCAATCCGCCATTTAAATTAGTACGTGTGTGAGGTTCCTCTTCTGGATGATCATGAATTTTCTTATCTATATTCAGATTAAGTGTTTAAATTCTACCAATTTCTTGCAACTACCTTAAAACATGTTTCAGAATATGAGAAGAACATCATTATGGATGATAAGAATAGGACAAAAAGTCTAACTCTAAGGAATCAAACAGACCTTATATTGATAACCAAAGATTCCGGAATAGCTGCTAAGACATACCTAGTTTCAGATATACTATCTGATCATAACCCTCTAATCGGCAACAACTTCACAACATAGAGACGGTATAGGAAAAGATATGACATACTGAACCCGGGTGGTATAGTATTTCCATCGACATACCGAAATCATTAAACATGTCGTTCAAGGTAAGAAATTCGGCTTCCGCATTTCCAGGTATGGATTGGTTTCTGACAACAACAGACATACTGAATAATATTTAATCCCAGGTAAGATGATCAGCATAGTCGACCTTATATAATAATCTGTGTAATTTTCTCACAGCAATTTGGATAGATTTATTACAATAATTATGAACCGAATGATTTTGCCTTTGAAGTTTAGTTAGTCATTTGTATTGACTGAAACGAGTACCTATACGTGTTACTGATAAGATGTTGAGTCGATTTGGAAGAAGGACCCAGTTCTTTAATTCTTAAAAAATAGCAGGGTTAAATACTATACCACCCTACTCCAATGTGGATTTTCAAAATTTGGTGCTTCGACATGTAAACCAGCGATTATGTTCTGTGGTAGATTTAATACAGAAGAAGATACAGAATATTCCAAATACAAGCTGGTAAAATTGTGTAACTTATGTTCAAAAAGTGGTACAATCGAATAATCTATTGAAAAGGGAAAGAACTGTTATGAACTTGAACGACGACAGTAACAGTGAGAGTAAAACTAACCTAACTTATACTTTAATATATAAAACTAGTTAGCTACCCGGCACAATGACGTATATGTTTGTTTTGTTTTTTGACACAGTTTTTTATTATAAATACCTGTTTTAGTTTATGTAGATCCTGCTGTTTGGACTTTGTGTGCTGTTTTGCTAGTAAAATGTTCCATATAAAAACTATGCTTGTCAACACTTCTGTAGGGCTTGTGTTTCCAGGTGCTTTCGAAAAGATTCTTGTGAACATCAATTTTTTACCACTCGCCCAGCAACGAGTCCTTCTCTGCATTTATTCAAGCACCCAATGATTTAATCGGCAATGAATGAGTTCGATAGATCGATGGACCCACTATTTTATCTGCAGGAATTTCGCACTGCAAGTGGATTAAGTATTCGCACTTCCTTTGCATACCTTAACCTTAAATTTTAGTAAAACTTCCAAGGGACTCATCGTTACTACATAAGACCAAGAAAAGAAAAACGCACGGTATACTACGTGAAAGTGTGTTTCCACTTAACAATTTATATGCAATGGTGAACCTAGAGCGCGGCCAAGACGCCGGGGCCCCCACACATTGCGCCCGGAACCTAACCCGGAGTCGCGGTCGTAAATCTGCCAGGCTTTTTATCAAATTGACCATTAGAAAACGACGGCACTTATTGCTTCTCGGAACGTACGTTGGCGACCCGTGGCAAACCTACGCCATGTTACACCAAAAGGAACACACCCTATGACGACGGCGGAAAAACTATATCGTTAACCCATATGCGAATGCTCCGAGAAACCGTACATGTCTTCGAGCGACTGTTCCTTTTTCGCTGAAGCGTTACTCTTAGCTCGTTAGAGAGATTATATTCCGTTTGGAGTTCCGCAAGGATGCGCGGCTGGCCCGCCACTGAAGAGTTGTGGTTCTTAAATGACTTTTTTCCACTCTCTCATTAAAATACCCAATTATCAGCTTTGTTAACCACTGTTGTGAGTCACTCCCGACGTTTCTGGTACTTTAGTCACGGATTTTATATATCCAATATCAAAACTTTGAGAGTCAAAACAGTTGAGACAACTGGAAGAAACAGGGTTTACCATCCTTGGTTAGAAATTATGTGATTTGATTGAAACAAGGGTTCTAACCAACTAACCATTTACCGCCAAGTATGCAGATACTCTACTTTCCAACGTTTCCAACGTTCTTGGTGAAAACTTTTGTTGTTGTTAAGTTTACAAGTAAAATAATTGGCTTGTTTTAAACAAGTAAAACCAAGTTAAATTATACAACACAGTACTCTATAAGTCTGAGAAAGCATTACGTATTTACTTATAAACACAAACGCTGTAGCAGTTGCCAACATGATAAGTGGTTATAAAATTTTAGAGGTCATGTCGGGATTTGGCAAAGGAGAAGCAGGTTTCATATTTAAAAAATGGGGTCAAGGCGCTAATGTCATTAACGTCGGATGAAGTGCCAGTTAAATGACGAATATTTAGAACTGATTCAATTAACGTAAGCACAGTACACAATTCTTTATAAGTGAGGATTTGGTCACCAAGAATAAGGGTCAAATATGCCTCTAAGGTGAGGGCCGGAGGGCGAATTAAAATGCCATTCAATAGTATCTTCATCGCTTTTATATTTAAATCTACTTCTAGTGTTACATCTTTGTAAAAAAACAACACTGCGCAAGTCCTATAACATTCAAATAAAACCAAGTTAAAACGAAGTACAAAGTCCTCTATTGAAGAGTCATATGACATAATATTAAACTCCTATTAATTCAATCTATAATATGCAAAAAGTTACATCAATAAATTTCTACGGATCGACATAGTAGTGCAATAGTAAATCCTATATACTTGGATATTTGTCTCAACTTGAACTTCAACTATATACTTCGGGAAGAGTCTTATAGCTAATCGTGTTTGTGCACACAACATTGATAAGGGAATGATTTATGGCATATCTGTGTTATACAGTAGGTAAGTTTAGTTTCTCCAGGGCACTGCCATACATTCGAGCTCATACTAAGATGCCATAACTAAGACTCTACAAGATGTAAAGGCATGACATAGCCTGCTTTATCTGATAAAAAATAACCCACTTACTTGTTTTTCTAAACAAATAACATACGTCATTTTCTCACCTCAGATATGGATCAACAATTATTCCCAAATATTTGAATTCAGAACTTTCCCTAATTGTCATCAGTCCTCTCAGTTTTTATTTTATATGAGACTTCGTAGTATTCAAGGACCGGTAATGTTCGGAGTACAACCTACGTCAAAAAATTTTAGGTAAAATGTCATTACCACGGAAAAACAGTTTATAGAATTCCAATGGCGATTGAAATGGCAACTTCATGTCATTTGAATTACTTCGGTTTTAACAACGGTAGACTTCCACAGTCGCAGCTAGTTCATATTACCATAATTTTACATGCCTATTTTGTTGTTAGTGGACATGGCACAGGAGCACCATCTGACGTTAAAATTCATATAATTTTATTTAAATCATTGTGCCGGCGGCGGAAAGCAAAGGTACAATAATTTTTGCAAAAACTAGGGAGTAAAATAATCGGTCACCCACCAAAAGTCTGGACGATATTAGCTTATTGTCAGTTAAAAATTGTTTGGTGTATGACGTCCTTGTAACATCATCCTAAATCACGTCTATCAAGGTCACTGGTCAAAAACAAGCTTCTCAAGTTTCTTATGGTTGCTTCATAAGTTCTTCTATCATCTTTATAGGCAGGGCCTCTATATCTCTAGTAGCTATATAATGTTACATAGTTTGTCCAAAACTGATTAATTATTCTAGTGCACCTTCGGAAAAAATTCAGTATTCAGGTTTTTATTGCTTGTTTTTGATTTTTGATTGGAATGGATAGTACGTAGCATTTGAGGTGTGCAGAGAATTTTCAAAGTTGAAGTTGTTGACCATTGCTAATAGGCTTTGATTGCATCCATTGCGGGTTGTCGTTGTATAGCCAATATCAGCTGTTATTGGTGACGTCTCTGCTCCTCGCTTCCCTAGAGGATTGTTTTTTTTGTCACCTCACACGAATAAGGCTTCTTGGCAGTTGATTACTGTCTTGAACGGGCACTGGGGTTTACTAACTAACTGTCCGAAAATATGTTAATTCTCTACCGCAGAAGTTGCTTCCTTTCCACTATCCTTGCGCAGATCGCAATCGCAAGTTCGGCAAAATGATAGGTACTATTTGGGATGTTAATAAAAAACAATCTACATGAAGCAAACATTTTTTTGTATTATTTTTGAAATGTACATTTTATGCCATTTAAGAACGTTATTTTTTAAAAATGATGTCTTTTAAGTGACGGCCATTATTGTCGAGGCGCTCTTGTAGGTTCTCGTGGAAGCGCATCATTACCGGATGAAAAGAAAAAAGTCGCAACGCGAAAAATCAGGCGAACGTGGCGGCCAGCCAAGATCACCCCGTAAAGACACCATTTAGTTTAGGAACATTTCTTGAAGAAGATTTAGTGCGTTGTGTGTGATGTAGCACCATCCTGCTGGAACCAAAGATGTTCTCTTTGATCGTTGTTCAACTCGTTCACGTTTGGACGCAGGAAATTGTTATCAAAATATCGATCTCCGTTCACTGTTGCTGTTATTATATCTTCTTCGAAAAAGTAAATACCCCACACGTCGAACTACGAGATTGCACACCAGACGGTGACTTTTGGACTGTAAAGAGGTGGCTCACGAAGTTCCTGTAGACTATTTGCTGACCAATAACGGAAATTTTGCTTATTTACGGTAACCGAAAGGTGAAAGTGAGCTTCATCGCTAGACATAAATACAGCGCCTCTGGGAATGTTTTGAAGAATATCCCGGCATAAATTTGTATGGGTTTCAAAATCTCTTGCGCTTAATTCCTGCACTACCATCATTTTGTACGAATGCATTTGGAGTGAGTTGTCTAAAATTTTTATCGGGAATTCCCAAAGCAGCTGCATGCTTACGAGCTGAACGCCTTGGAGACTGTTGTACGGAAACTCTTACTGCATTCACATTTTCCGGTGTTCTTATTGTCCTTGATCGGCCAGTAGATTTTCGGTTAAGCGCAGAATCTGTTTCCCTGAAGTGCAAAACCCACCGACGAATTGTTCTTCCATCCGGAACCGCGCCATGCCGACCGACATCAAACTGATTACGAAAGGCGCGCTGCGTTGCTATTACTAATAAACTCCTCGACAACGAAAGCACGATCCACTCCGCTCCAAGCCATGTCGATAACTGAAAATTGCATACTAACGCGAGTACGTACACAGTGTTGCCGGTTTTACAAACCGAACAACCACTATTTGAAATCCTGCCTACCTTTTTGCCGCACCCTGTAGTATGTGTTAAGACCGATTTATATTGCCCTCCTTTGGTGCTCGTCATATATGCACCCATTACAGTCTTTGATTGTGATCTCGAACGAAAATTTCATTTTCTCAAGAGTAGTTTCCCGAAAATAATAACAACAATCTTATTAATATTCCACCTCGAACAGCTGTATTTATATGATTGCCGAAAATACCGGCACCTTTGCCAAATGTTTACTCGACTTTGTTCTCTAATTTCATAGTGTCGACAAATCCAGTTTTCCACTGGTCTCTATCTAGATAAGAATTAACGCGGACATGGCACTTTTAAAATAACAGCCACGTCAAAGTTGCTGTCATGAGAACAGAATAATAGACAGTGGCGCACTGATGGTGTGACTGTACATTTGGCGATTAAACTTTCGCAGTCAAGTCAAGCCATAATAAATGCTATATTTTGTTAGGTATTTTAAAAGCTTTGTAGCTCTTACTTTCAAACCGAGAGTTTTGCAAGTTGTTTAATTAATACCAAAGCGAATACTGACGATGTTTATTGCTCCAACTAATCACAACTGAACATAGATTAACGAGGTTCCAATGTAGTCTCATTGGCCGGCCACACGATGTCTTCTATCCACTGGACGTAGTTCGACACGCGAGTGTACACTCCGGGTATGTTGGTGGACAAGCCACAACCGATTCCGAAAGATGTGATTCCCACAACGTCGTACATGCACCTTATGTCTCTATCGCCCTCGTGGTATATTTGAAGAGGTCCACCAGAATCACCCTAGAGCGCCAAACGCATCGGTGAGGCATCCGGTAGAGAAGTAAAGTCTTACCTGGCAAGTATCTTTGATGTCATTCTCGGAGCCCGCGCATATCATCAAATCATCGAGAATTCCAGACTTTAGCCTCCCGGAGAAGGTCCTCTTGTAAGTTGCGTTGCATCGCTGATGGCTAAACGTCTCCAAGGTGACTTTGAGGAGCTGGCTGCTTCCGTCACCGGCCCACGCGGTCGCTCCCCAACCGGTAGCTGAGCCAGTAAATTACAAAAGTGTTTCAATGTTTAAGAACAACCTAGAGGTTGTAGTTTTAGGAGATGTGACACTCCTAAAACTGGAGTTAAATTCAGCGATCTCGAAAGAGTAGTAATGAACAATCAATTCAGGAATATTACCTTGTAAACGGCATTTGACTCACGAGTTTATTTGACAAGAGCGGAGCGAGTGTTTAATAAACGTTTAATAAAAGTCAAAATTCAAAGAGAAAACATCCGATTGCTCCCAAACCCGTGCCGTAAAATCCCGGAAATGTGCGAAGTGGCTCGATCCGTGGGAAAAGAAACTAACGTGGTAAAATGAGGCTTCCGGCATGCTAGATCGGTGTGTAATTACGTATTTTACAGACGGGAGTAGAAAAAGTTAATTTAACCAATATTTTGCATAATCCTACACCTACACACATTTTACCATAATTTTACATGCACTAGTGTTAGTTGTTTGTAGAAAATGGCAACAGGATCAAAATCTGACGTTTAAGTCTCATAATTTTATTTACATTGTGTTGTGGAAATGTTTTGTAGAAAGCGAGGCTCTATTAAATGCAACGCATGAAATTTTAATTGGAACTACTACAGAAATCGATAGTTCACATCGCGCATAACAAAACTATTCCAAGTAAAATTCTCTTCCAGGCACTTCTTTGGCTCACACAAATGAAGCTTATGAGAAATGTATTGGAATATGCAGGGCTCGTCTACAAAATCGTATATAATTTTAAAGAAAAATTAAAATAAAAAGAATCATGACATACCAAGTATGGTATACTGGGAAAGACCTTCAATTTCTTGTTGATCACAACCTAGATACTAACAGACGCAACGCTCCCTACCGGACTATAGATGAACTGACAACCATAATTGACGGACTAAATAACTACTAGACGTTAGATAATAAGATAATTATTGGAATAATAATAATAATAATAATGGAAAAAATAATGTTACAATAATATAATGACAGCATTAAATTATAATTACATTAATGTTAAAAAATAAATAAATAATAATTTTAAAAATAAATAAATGACAATTACAAATACATTAAATATTAAGAATAAGCTCTTTCCTTTCCCTTTCTATTCTCCCCTTCCCTTTCACTAAGTTTTGGTTAGACAACCCATTCAATTTCAATTCCTTTAAACTTAAATTAAATTAAAACAAGCATCTATCTTACCTATCACCTTAGAATGTTCGAGAATCTTCGGCGTGTGATGAATACAAGCTGGCCTAACGTAAGAGTTTATCTCGACGTTTTTCTCTAGTCTGATTAGGCCGACATCGTTGTAATGGGACACCAAAACGTACCGAGGAAATTTAAACGTTCTTTGCACACGCTGTATTTGAACTTGACTGGTGTCGGACTGATTGGTGACGCCCAGTCGCACGAAACTCGCGTTTCCTCTAAAAATTGGTTTAATAAAAATATAATAAAAACTAAATCTGAATCTGCAATGAATACCTTTAGAATTAAGCCTATAGAATTAAGCTCCTTATATGTGTTCCAAACTAAAAAGGCCATTTTTGAATAAAATCGTTGTAACCTAAGTAGTTGCTTTAGGTCACTGCACAAGCCTCCATCCCCCTGGCAAATCTTGGAATATGAATATTTCTAAAGAATTCGAATTTAGTTTCGCCACTCATGGAAACACAGTTTAGATTTTACTGATGGTATACGCCGTGGTGTATAGAATTAAATATACCAGGCATATTGTCAAATTGAAGAGTTTGAGGCGCAGAACACGGATAAATAATTTTTAAATTCCCAGGTTCACTAAGTAAGCGGAAAAAGGAAAAAAACAACGCATATTTACTAAAAAAGAAAAATTTGTGAAACATTTTTTGAAAACGGAACTTAATACAGCGTTTCAACCGCGAATCAAGCTATGGGCCACTATTTAACAAGGCTCACCTGTTCCGTCTCCAAAGGCAGTGTCCGGCAGTGAGGACGAAATTTTCACTTATCAACGAACCACCACATGCCCAGGACACTTCGTGGGCTTCGCCGTAACCGATCTGGGCCTTAAACCGAAAGAATCTTTCAACGCCTCGTTGCTCGCAGGATAACAACCACAGCGGTTATTTACCATGTGAGGGAACTCTTTCGGTTCGGCCAGGGTGCCACCGACTACCAGTTCGACTTTGTCGAACTCGCATTCGTCATTGATGAGGTCTTCCGCGTTGGCCATCAGCAGTGGCGAAACGACCACTCGTTCGTTGTATTTGGAATACTGCCTGCATTCTTTAAACACAGTTAATAGAGAGACTCTAGAGTCACGTAGTAAAGAATATTTCTCTTTTACTAAGTATTATTTTAATTAATCAAACAAGTACTGGTCCAAGTGCTGAACCCTGCGGAACTCCGCTGGCGACAGGAAGCTAATTTTTTCAAAATTTTGCAATTTAAGATAATACACTTCTCTTTCCGTACAATAAATTTAGTGTTTTGTGTGACTTTTATCTTTTTATTTTCTAAAAACTCTACATCGTTTTATTACTTGAATACTTTCAAATTTTGTTTCTTTGAGAGTGTGAATGATTCAGTATAACTTTGGAGGAAAGGCCAGCTAATCTGCTTACTAGTTTTGGCAGTTTCTCCTACCGGCCGTACGTCGACGAACGTTATGGCATCGCCGTTGCGAGCACTGATTTGATAGCAACAAACCAGAGGCTCGGTACCGTTGGTTTTGCACGGTTGAGGTGCCTCGCCATCTTCTAACACCATGAGCACCTCTGGACACTGATCCCGCCTGACGCACATTGCTCTGTTGTTCTCATTGTCATGGCAGATGCTCCCTGGCAGGCGTCATAATAATTGTTTTAAAAAAATTGTAAAATTTGTAGGTAAAGTTTTAATTTATTTAGTCACGACAGTACATGTGGAAAACGTGACATTTTCAATTTTTCTATGAAGATATTATAAATAACCTTATAGAACAATTTTATAAGTTCAAAACTTTAAAGATAAAAACTATAAAGATGTTATAAACAATATGCACAGAACATTTTCATTAAGAAATTTTAAATATATCAATCTTATAGCATTTGAAGCCTGCTTATAGGAAAAATTCAAGTCAGGAACATACGCTATCGATAAATTTTATATTTTTTGATACCCTGTATAAGATATTATTTTTAGGCGAGTTTTTCTATACATTCAGTACCATTTTGTTCTTACATTTGTCCGTTATTTATAGAGTTTTTCGCAAAATATAAAATTACAAAAAAATATATATTAACACAATTTTACTATTCTTAAGTTGACAATTTAAATTAATAAAATAATAAATTATTAAGAATATTATTAATCGCCGTTATTTGCTTTTATTGACCTGAAAATTGCCATTATTATTACCTATTCGTTTATCAGGTAATTGGGTTATTTATAATATATATCATAACATATAAATCATGCGGGCAAATTTTCCTAATGATATTTAAATAATAACTCATTAGTACAACAGTTTATATATCACTTTCATATAATACTTATAAATAAGATAATATAATAAATTGCAATAAACTCTTTCAAATTGTTTTTGCAATATAAACTTTAAAAACGTACTTCATTATTTTTATATTTACTAGTTCACTAAAACTTACAAGTGTGTTAATTATTATTATTTTTTATAAATAAATTGTCAACGCGATGTTAATGTTAATAAGTGGATAGACCGTTGATTGTAGCCTTTGAAGTTCCTCATTTGGTCACTAATTACGGTCATTAAAAAAAAACGAGACTGCTTTCTTTTCATGATTTCTACATTTACTAGTGGATTGTAACTTATAACTCACTATTAAATCATGCCTTATAACTCATCAGTGGAATAAAGGTCACATTATTGGTTAGAAGTTAAAAAATAAACAGTGAAAAAGTTAGTTATTTTTATTAAGTCTGATATTTTTTATAAAATTATTGTTATTTTGTTAAAATGTCAATCTAACGTTAAGGTTTATTTTTGGCCTCATTGTAATATAAAATTTAAAAATATACTAGCTTTTATAACTAACAAATCATAAAAGTAGCTAACTCATGATTTGAAACTCACCAGTGGCGTTTAAAAAATAAAGAGCGTAAAAGTTTGTTATTGTTGACTTAGTGTAGTTCAATTTTACATTTATTATTATTCTCTTTAAATCAAATGTAAATCAAATGTTAATGTTAATATGAGGATAGACTGTAGCATTTTAAGTGGCCCATTTGTTCACTATTAACTAACAGTTTTGTTTGTAATAAAAATTTAAGAAATGAAATAGATATTTAAATTTTCATGATATCTATAATTGATTTTTGTGGATTAGAACTTGAACTGGAACAGTGAAGTGAAGTGTGATAAAAATTTTGCAATTGTTATTATTTTTTATGAAAAAAATGTAAACCTTGATCTGGATGTTAAGTAGACCGTAGTTTATAGCATTTTAAGTTACTTATTTTTTCACTAGTCACAGTATCAAATGAGTATTGTCATAAAACCTTAAAAAAAACTAGACATTTGACTTTTCCTGATTTCTATAATTCAGTAGTGGATTATAACTTACAACTCAAAATTAAGTGATGACATAACTCACCTAACACAATTTAACAGTGAGAGTAGCTTTAAATATTTGATAACATGGATAAAGGTTTGCCAGCGACAAATAACCGGAGATGTATGCAATAACGTGCATTCTTTAAGCCAATTATACCCTAATTGACTGAATGTTACCTCTAATTGGACATTTTAATTTAGAATCGACAGAAATTTTAAACGGCCGATTATTGTTCTCCAACTGCGATTATTTCAAACGCATAAGCGCAAATCTACATACCTGGTGACAATGCGGATAAACCACTAAACAAAACCGACGTTAACAACAACAACGCAAACATTTTGCCGCCGCTCGTCGACTAATTTTTGTTTTTAAACGTTACGGCGTGGGTTTTCCGCGAAATAAGACGGCTACAGCTTTTACTTTGATAACCTCGCTCACAGGGCGATCACAATTAATATTATAATAAGCGCGTTGCCGATATCACGTAAAAATAAACCGCTCTTCTTCTTTTCCGCGCAATTTTCGACGCGGAACCGTCAAGGGGCGAGCGGCGGGTACGCCACTGGCGAGACTTTACCCAAAATTGCCGGAAGTTTCTCCGTTAGAACGCAATGCGGGCGGAAAGTCGATACTACGCGATATCTGGCAACGTGGCCATTAGGCGATTTGTAATTTTACGTATTTTCCAACTTCTCAAATAGCCCGGAGTTCAATGGAATGTCGGGGATCGAACGATTGAACAATGACTAGCGTAAAACTGCGACTATATCACTTAAAGTACTGCTTACACGTCGTCTTAAGTATGTAAAGTTAGTATCGATCCAAAAATTTCAAATTTTCGAAAATATACACTTCTAGCATGAACAAGTTTGTACATTACTTAGAGCTGTATAAAATCGGGTTAGAATAATTCTTTCTTTTTATTGTGACGAAGCCTATATAGTATTCTTGTGGAAAACTTATTGGAAATACGGCCATCGTGGAACATTAAGCGGATATCTTCACAAAATCGGATTTAGATTTAAAAATGAAAAGAAATCATCAATTTCGCTTAGGATAACGAACACTATAAAGGATAAATGGCAAAATTCATCAAACTGCAGTTTGGAAGTATGGTCTGTTCATAGATATAAGAAAGTGACCAATTGCTTTACATACAATGCGACAAGATTATTACCTAAAGTTTCGGAATTTAAATTTAGGTAAAATTGTGATCCGTAATAGAAAATAATTTTATACCTGCCTGTGTTTAATATTCTTTGGATTGATGTACTATTTAATTTAACTTTATTAGTGTGTTGAATCGTGTACGAATTATGCAAAATATGTGCGAGTCTACTGTATCTCAGGAGATGTTCCTGCCAAAATGTAGAAAACACTATTCTATTGAGACTAAGGAAGTTATAAACAATGTTTACTTGACTCTCATTGAACGTGGTGCCAGCAAGTAAGCATCTCTAGAAGAAACGGCCACCTTGACGAAAATTCCAACATCAGCTGTATGGAAAAATGTGAATAAACCCATTTCAGCGAGGAAAAAAAGAAGCGATGCTGACATTTTCTCGAGTGTAGATGAAAGTGATTAAGATATAATACGGCTTAAAATTTACCAGTTATACGAGGAACAAGGCGTGCCTACATTAGATATCTTAATTAGGAGGCTTGAAAAAAATGAAACCGGTGTTAAATGTGGCAGAACTACCTTATGGAAGTGTATTCGACACATGGGTTTTAGATTTAAAAAAATTGACGAAAGGCAAGTCTTAATGGAATCTTTTTGAATTCGGCAATGGCAATATCTAGAAAAAAATAGGATTTACAGAAAACAACAAATGCCAATTATTTACTTGAATGAAACCTGGTTCGACACTTATGATACCCCGGAAAAAGGTCGGGTTGACTCAACTGATAAGTCTAAAACAAACGCGCCATCAAAAAGAGGTAAAAGAATAACTATTTTACATGCTGGCTCTAAAGATGGGTGGATTCCAAATGGACTTTTTCTGTCTGCGAAAAATATTAAAGATTCTTCTCTGCATTACCATGAAGACACCACCGCTGATTTATTTGAAAGTTGGTTTAAAAACAAACTAGTTCCACACATTCCTCCTAATAGTGTCATTGGAAAACGCAAGTAGACAGTTGACTAAAACCACTTCTTCATGTGACACAAAAGCAACAATCCAAAACTACATGTATAATAACGACATTTATTTTCACGCAGATTTTACCAAAAAGCAATTAACTGAGGTTCTACGAAGCTTGAATCTACAATGTGATAATTATGCAAAAAATCTAGGGCATACAGTTTTAATTCTTCCACCTTACCGCTGTATATTTAATCCCATTGAACATGTTTGGCACCAGCTGAAAACTGTAATTCGTAGTAACGATGTTTTCCCCGTGTTAACTCCAATGTCCTCAAACTTATAGAAACCGAAGTTTTAGACATCCCTCCACAAAGTTGGTCAAATTCTGTTAAACATATAGAAAAAGCAGAACAATCGTATATCCATATTGCAAATAATAATTAGAACAGGGGATGATAGCGATAGTGATAGTGATATTATGTGAATAATTTTAAGTAATTTAAGTAGGCAATAAAAATAATTTGTAATTTTATTTTAGATTGAAACATAAATACATACATAAATGAATAAATATTGTTTAGTATCGTTCCTAACCAAACTCCAAATAATTAAATTCTAAGCAACTATCTATGAACAGACTTTAACTCTAGTATTGATATCGCGAATCGATTCCAGGTCATTCCGGCACATGCTTTGAAAGAGTTGATAACAGTTGTTGTTTGAAACCCTGCAACTTAAGTTCCACAACAAGAGATGGACGATGAAGATCTTCATCAACAAAACTATTTGGATCGCCGTCGACTAGAACAAATTACAAGATCCAAAATCTTATCGTTAATGTTACGAACATTGTTCTAATTGTTCACAATCAAAATATTTTGGAATGTCGATAAGAGTTTCACTTGGGCATCCGTGTAATTATTATTCAGATAATAACTTTTTAACTTAAACAAACTCTAACTAAAACAAAATTATCTGTGATTTCTCTGATTTACAAATGAAATATGTTTCTATAAAGTATACAAACCTACATAACTTGTTACAACGATTTCTGCAATATTTATATAATAGTTCGATTAGTTTATGTTAAAATAATGAAATTAACTACATCCACGATGGTGCCAATCTGGAGCACTACACTACTACGCCATTAAATCGTCTAAAAAACCTTCCGAATCGATAGAAAAGAATCTCCGTGGTGAGAACTAGAACGCCCAAAGTACACCCGATCATCAAAAACACGAAGGTGGCTGGGAAATGCTCTAACTTGAACGTCTTTTCGTTTGCGTCCATTTGCATCTTGGACTGCAACTTGTTAGCCTTAAGCCCAATCTCTCTAAATACCAAATACCAGCGGTCAAGTTTGGCGAGGTACGGGGAATTCTTGCTGACGCAATAGGCTCCGAGACTGGGGGACACGGTCTTGGACATGATCCGCCAGCCGAAATATTTGTTGCACCAGGAAAAATGCTCGACGAACTAAGCGTCAACGTACGGCATGACGTATATCGCGTCAGGTTTGTTCCGCAACACCATCTCTCTAAGTTCGAATTTGCTGACGTGAATCGCTCGGGGTATACCCAAGTCCATTTGGATGTGCGTATAAACTGTCAAGGTACTTTTTCTGATGTCGTCGATGGTACTAATCTGAGTCGTTTCGAATTTGTCTGTCAAAATGGTGCGCAGCAACAAGGACGAGGGATAACTAGAAATGCGTGCTTCCAAGCCGGTATGAGCTGGGGCTTCGGCACCAACGACACTTCGTTGTTCACTATGTGCGGGTAAGAGAAAGTCAACGAGTCGCTTGCGCCGTTGGTATTCATTATCAAGTTTTTCGCAAGCGTCGAGAGGTAGAGATCCAGCTTGCCGAATGCGAACTTTTTCAAGGCCGTCTCGGAAAACTTGCTTTTCGAACGCACCATTGTGATGTTGGTAGAGGCGTTGATAGCCCGGGCGAACCAGTTCGCGAATACCATCCTGAAACCGTTGTCTTCCCTGCACACTTGGCTCGCGGTGTCCTCGAAAATGGCCACGTGTAAAGTGTGTCCGTGCATGTCCCTCAGCTTGTAGCGCATATGGCGCACTGCCGTAGACACTGTCTGATCGGTAAACGAGTTGTAGTGAACTAGTATCGCGGAGTCGTTGAAGTACAGAATGTCGAAGTTAAATACGCCGTTCGTCCAGACCGTGCGCAGCGTACTGCGCACGTCATCGCCGTCGGCGTTTGGTGCGCACAAGACGAAGAAATAGTTGCCCGTGTTCCGGAAAAAGTCTGAATTAATCAGACCAACGCGATGACCGTGATCGTGTCGTTGAAGATGGCACTGTCTCCTTGCTGCTGGGTCACGTGCGCGACGTATTTCGCGCACAGCGTGAACCGCAACAGCAACGAGATGATTTCGTAGCACCGGTAACTGCCCGCGTGGTAAACGAGGTGGCACGTTGCAAACCTGGATGTCACCACGGCGGGTCTAGTTTTGAGGACGAAGTCTTCTATCTCCGCTTCTAATCCTCCCAGTTCGATTGGTAGGAGTTTACTGGGGTCGCCGGTCCGACATGCTACGGTGACGAGAAAGAATATGGCAAAGCCCAAAGACATGGCGGCCTTTTAGAATATTATAGTCTCCTTCTTTGCGTTCATTAAGCTTTCTTTTGCGCCATTTGCGACTATTCCTGTAATTATATATGGTGTATATTTTGCCACTGTGTATGCAATTGGAGAGGGTGGTTAGTTTTGATTAGTTGGATGGAATTGGAATGGTATATTATTGCATTTTCTTCTGATTCTAACCATGTCCTATACCTATGTCTAACCGTTTTGTAAATTAGACCTTGCACTTAACCAACTTTGAACATACATATATTTGTAGTTTCTGAAAATTTGATCCTCATATTTGGCAAAATCTTAAAAAAGAGGCTTAATTTCACGTTTTTCTTATTGTTGTTGTCCATTTTTATACAGCGTGTTCAAAATTAGGGCGCAAACATTCACATTTTCGCTAAACTCAAATGGGCACACCAAGTCCAGAACTTTCTTCAACGTCTTTCTCTATCAAACTGTATATGGTATCGTATCGTTTTATTCAGGTGAACATTTTCTCTTCACGTACTTTTCAAATTTCAAATTTTCAAAAAGTACAAAAACATGCATGTTCAAAAACTGTTAAATATAAGTGTAGGACATTACACGCAGAATAGGTTTAGAAGTTCATACAGAATCCCATTTGAAATAAGTAAGTTGACAGCAACTTCCGGTTGAACCCAGAAGTGACATAACGTTGACAGTATTTTAAAAAAGTACTCTTGGAACGTACCTTAAATGCAAATATTGAAATGAAATCCTATTAAACTTTTATTG